AGCTAGTGAACTTGAGAGTCGTGGCGCACCCAAGCAAACACAAGGTAAACATGGGAGCAATAAAACTTTGATTTGGGCTTGTCGGTACATATCAATTAAAAGGTTAAAAGGCGCGAACTGAAACAGCATGAAAAAAGACACGTACGACACGGACAAGCGTCAACTCCCAACTGATTTAGTGTAACACCAAACATTTTCAAACTCTCGATTCCCATCACTCATACAGATGTCCAAGCAACAAGGTAAAGGTTCCTATCTCTCATCACCACGCAGCCACCAAAAAACACAATCTCTTTCTTTAGTAGATAAAGGGATGGCATGGTTACGCATTTTTCGGCCGCTTTGTGTATACAGAAAGCTTCGATTATTTTCCTTCCTATCTTCTCATTCCCTCTTTTAGAACCTTGTGCGCTCTAACATTGGTTCACACCACACCGTTTGCAGCACTCCGCAAGATGCCCATCCGAAGTTTTGCTTACGGTAAGCTTGCGTTCCCGCGCTCTTTCATTAAAACATCGGCCCGTCTGACCGACGTAACCTTGGCCGCAACAAAAAGGAATCTCATATTTTACCTTAGTCACACATTCGGTGTCTCTTGTTACATGTTCTTTTTAGCACAAAATCATTCCCTTTGAGGGGCATTTGCCGCTACCTTCTTGACTTGTAACCAGACATGTACGTAACTCGTAATCCCTAACATTTATCAGTAATTTAGTAACGTTATAATCCCTTGCATTCTTTTCGCTAACCCCCCCCCCCCTCCCCCTTTCCTTTAACCGACCATTGGAAAAAAAGAGAAAAAAAAGGGGTTGCTAGACACAGGGTTAATGTAGTGTTCTTAGCCCCGTGCATAGCGCTCTTACGTCTGCCATTCATGACAATATCATAAGCTAGCCCTCTGAAACCTTAACGGGAAGGCTTGTAAGCTCGCAAAGCTTAGAGGGTTAAAACCCTGATTCCCTTTGGCGTTACCGGGCTTGTTTGGTAAGTATCGAAGGGAGTGGGGGCGCTGCCGGGCTAAATGAGCTTAAACACGAAATCGTAACTATATGTTTGTACTACCCTAAAAAAGAACCAGGACAGAAAAAAAACACACGGTGTCTTCATTTTTTTTTTTTTTTTTTTTTTTTGAGTAGCACAACATTTATTTGCGATTTCGTGTGTGGTAAGAGCTATCACATATTATCAAAATGGACAAATACCCTTACAGCAAAATTAACACATTTGCGATCGTCGCTCAGCTCGTATTGAGCTAGCCAATAAACATAATACTGTTACTGAGCCATACGCATGCATCCCGAAGAGATAAAGAACAAAAAGGAAATCGTGTTTTAATAAAAATAGCACGAGTATCATATCGCTGCCACTTGACGCGCGGAACAGATTGAATCATCGTTTGAACTAATCCAATAAATAAAAAAAAAATAAAAAAAAAAAAACCAGCGCCCAACGTGGGGCTCGAACCCACGACCCCGAGATTAAGAGTCTCGTGCTCTACCGACTGAGCTAGCCGGGCGGACAGGTCGACATTCAGCGTCGTACATAGAAAAGAACGATGGAAAATGTCCTTAAACTTTCTTGCCTTTCTTCTACGAGGGAACGGGAACAAATACACAATTTTAACCAGTAGTGCGTTCCAATTTAAAGCTGACTATTACTATGTGCGAATTCTACACACAAAGCAAGGCAGGACGTCAAGGGGATCCAGAGCAACTTCACGAATAACTGCTCGATTCAGAAGTTAGAACGTGGAGATGTCATCAAACGCAGAACGATAGTCCTCAAATCTCACCACGCAAAAACTGGCGTGCTCATCTGAGTCACGCTCCAAGTATGGCGACACAGTATTCGCGTTGAGAAGCTCGCTAGGGGCGCTTCGGTTTCCTCACTTTGGGTAGTGCACGTGCTACTTACGCCGTTATGTTTTGATTTTCATAGTGCATAGAAGATTGGCATTGCACGTGCTTGCACCAACAGAGAATGTTGAAGTATCCTTAGACTGGGTTGTGAAAAAATTCCACCAGGCGGCGATACCCAAACTTCTCGCCGCGAATAATATACGGGCAGCCGTTCAGATAACAATATGATTTTCGCGATATCGTGAATATCAGTCGTGAGAATCCCATTGTCTAACCAAGGCAAGTTTATGTCGCAGCGCCAAACTTCGAAATTTATGAGCTTATGAAAATATAAATAAGTTTATAGAAAACAATTGACTTTACGTTCACTATTACTGTCGGATAGAGAGTGTTTCCTTTTTATCATGCTTGCTAAATAATTTTTATATTGATTGTGTAGATTTTGACTTTAAAACTTCTAAAGAATTGCGTTTGTATTTTTGCTCCTGATTTGTACCTGATTTCTAGTTTCTGTTTGATTTTGCTCCATTATTAGGCACAATTGCATAGTTTTGTAAATTTTAATTGTTGCTTTTTTATGTTTGTCTATTCGCTTAAAAAAGAACAGGCGAGTGCGTAGTTATGTATCTTTCAATTGTTACTTTTTGTGTGTACTTTTTTACTTTTTTTTTTTTTTTTTTTTATTTCCATTCCGTTGCTGCTGACCATTGTAGGGACCCGAGGACAGTCAAGCTGCATATCGCAGCTTTTTTCCACGGGTCCCACCATCACAATCGATGGAAATAAAAAAATTATTATTATATTATTTAGATCGGATAAGGTCACCGAGCTCAAGTGGCTGTAGGAGTAGATGACCTCTATAATTTTTTTTTTCTCTTTTCTTTCTCTTAATGATTTTGGTTGAGGCACTTCTTATACCTGATGTCAGAACCATTACAGTTTAGTTGTAAGTCAGCACTGCTGTCCGTCAATCATCTTTTATTTTGTCTTTGTCGTTTTCCGTTTCTGCTTTTAAGAGTGAACTACTGTGATATCTCGTTAATATGGACACCTCCATTCGTCCCCAATTTTGTCGATTATGTGACTTGTCCATAACGAAACAAAAATTCATCTATTTATCCAGTTCACCCCCGAAAATGTGCACCAAAGAGACATATTATTGTACCAACTAGCTCAACCGTCAACGTTCACAACTTGGAAAGAGGCGACGCAACAAAGCGGAAAAGAAAGATATAAGAGAGGGTAGAAAGGAGCCTATCCGAGTGCGCAACAAAAACTGGAGCGGCCTGGTGGTCGGAACGTGAAACAGGCGAAAGAGGATTAAATGCACGTCGTGATGGTTGCGAAGCCCAGTGGATCCAATATCGCCTTGTCAAAACAAATGCAAGAAAAACAACTTTCTCTTTTTTTTGTTTTTTTGTTTGTCAAGGTTTCATAATTACCTCCAGTTCGAGGCAGGGAAAGTTTGCTCCGACTGCGCAGCGCGCGCGCGTAGAAAACGAAGTATTGACCTACGCACAACGGTAGACACGTACGTCTTACAAGCGAAGTATGTTAGACAAGAGAATTATTCGCCATAAAATGATAGGATACGCTGTCTCGAGGCTTTCAATCATCGTTTGTACAAAGGGGCGCTGTGTCAACCCTTGAGGGCTTTCTTTTCTTTCTTTCTTTTTTTTTTTTTTTTCTTGTTTTGGTCCTTTTAACTTAACCAGTACAAAAGAGACCCCCCCCCCCCCCCCCCCCTGTCAGTCCTGTCATATCACATTGGTGACTGTTGGAGTGGAAGGATGGCTCCAGTCTTATCACGTCTCGACAACTTTGGTGTTCCTCGTCGATGTAGTAAAGAAGAGAAGAAGGGTTTACTCAAGCAAAATAAAAATCATGAAGTACAGTTCCAACGTCGCTCATAGTGTGAGTTGCGTAAGCGTCAGGTTTGTTTGTTAACGGGTTGTTTGGTTCGTTATTTCATATCTGATGGATAATTAGTTTCATTCCTGTTTAGTAACCAGGTAGGAACGACTTTCCTGGGGAAAGTGGCGGTAGTTGCTAACCTCTCGTCGTACCCCCGCGACTGGCAGCAACGCCGCGCTCTAACAAGGCAGCTTCAGACGTTAATCTGTGTGTGAGCATTTAATGTTGGATTAGAGTTCAAATTGTTTCATTCGGACAAAAACGTTTGGAAGGAACTATATTAAAAAGACCTGGTTTCTGACTAGGTTTCAGCCCAGGATTCCAGCACGCCAGAAACTTGGGCCGACGACGAGATACATACAATGCATGGGCATTCTACCCAGAGAACCCTAAAGACAAAGCAAGAAACTTGTGGTAGTCCCTGACAGTTTCTAAGTTATATTCGATGAGACAAAAATGCCATCGAAAGCAAAAGGGTACACAAAAAAGTCAACGAACATGCACAATGAATGTGTGTGTTTCCTATTTGCTGCCTCCATATACGTCTCGGGTTTAACAATATGTAGCGCGTTAAGTTTTTTCTTTTTTTTTCAGAATTATAATAGATTTCTAAAAATTTATAGCAGTAACTAGCTAAAACAACAAACCTTCTATACTGAACGATTACATCACTAAAAGATGGTGACTCCTGTTACTGTTCGAATAAATGTATTTATACAATCATTTTCGTGCATACCATAAATCTATGGAACGAACAAGCTACCCAGGTTTCTGGTTCTGCAAAGTTCATAGATAAACTATATAAGTACTAAGTTGTCCTGGCACAATAGAGTCGTTGTTCTGTACAGTGAATTGTTTAGGCATCAATCTATAAATCTGTCTAACATTGTTATAAATCAAACATGCTGTATAAAATTTTGAAGAAAAAAAAGAAGAGTTCTTGTTTGTGTGCAGCTGAATATGTTGCGTAAAAAGGAATGTGTACAAAAGTTGTATTTTTTCAGTAACAAATGTGCCAAATGCGTTTGAATCATTCACTCCGGCTTTGGCCGCAACTGGCTGGCGATATTGACCAACAAATAAATATAAACTGATCCAGTCCGTTCGTATTATAGGTATTATCGAGCGCTCAACAACAATTGTGTGATATCGGTTTTATTGCGGGTCGCTCGCTAAAAACGTGTCTCATGCGTTTTACGTCTTTCGCTTTCGTGATCCTTTTTGCAGTATGGAGTACTTCCTGGAGAAGCTGCGAATGTCCAGGTCCGTTAAAGACGACCAGATCTCCATCGAGTCCAAACAAGCCAAGAACGACAGGAGGCCGACGAAGATATTCAACAGCCAGCTACAGTATCCCTCACCAACCTTCATCGACAAGGTACGCGCCACTGGCCAATTTGATAAACACGATTTATACTTTAACGTAGTACACCCAAAAACGACGACGAAGCAGACGAACACAACGGGCGCGCCGTGTCTTGTCGTCATTGCCTGCTTCAATCTTGTTTTTTTTTTTTTGTATTTTATTACAGTTGAACCCCTACTCAACTAGCCCAACTGGCTATTTTAATGTTCTATACTTGGTTACAGATTAGGTGAGAGTTTAGTCAAAGCTACGAGCATATGGGACCAATCAATTCAGCGCGAAGTCCTACGTCACGCTACTTAGTTCTACGCAGTCATCCCCGGCTAAACCAATGAAGAACTGTGAATGCAGCATGGGCCATGCCGCATTCACTGAACCTCAGTGGTTTAGTCGAGAACACTAGGATGGAGAATAAAAATGAGGATGATTTAAATCGTGATTCAAAACATGGGTTAAATCGTTATGTAAATTTGACCGATTTTCCTATGATAATTTAAATCGCATATTTCCGAAAAACTAATCCATTCTTTTTTCCTTATTTACTGTTTGTTTATTATCCACGGTTTTCAATGCGCATATGTTTTGTATTTAAATCAAAGAATCATCACACAATAATGATTTTATCGGGCTGAACACGAGCAAAAAAGCAGTGGTCCTAGGAGGATATCGATGTGCTGAACTTTATAGAAACGAAAACTGGGAAAGTAATGTAGTGTTTCTAGCAAATCACATCGCGAAAAAGAAAGGCAAATATAGCTTGTTCGCTAGCTAAAAAAAACTAAACTGTTATTGTTTGAGTATGGCGGGTTTTACAACCAAAAAAGTTGCTAAAACTGTAGTAATTTCTTTGAATTGAATTGATCAAATAATCTGTCGTGTTCAAAATGCATATAGTGATAACGATATAGTGTTCAGCGCGTGTGCTTGTCTGTCTGAATACCTGGTGTGTGATTGTTTCTCTGCGCTACCACCGTAGAATATGGTTCGCCAACTCTCCCAAGTATCCATCCTATCAAGTGATAACGAATCAATATTTTGTAGCAACATTGATTTTAAATCAAATTATTCTGATTAAAATCAAATAAGTCGGGGTTAAATAAAATAAACCTTAATAATTTAAATTTAAAAAATGACTTTTTTTACCCCAGGCATGGCATTATAGTTTTAGTATGATCACGTGCGTATGTGTCTGTGTGTCTTCTAGCCTCTGAGTGCGCCCTGACCCACCAGTGTTGACAAAATACTCGATAAAAGTATTTAAGTTAATAAATACCTGCTTCATAAAGTATTTAAAATACTACTCAACTTACACTGTAAAGTACCTTGGGTTGAGTACAAATACTTAGAAATGTAATTCAATTACTTTTGAAGATACTTCCGCATTGCGTAATTTGTATCGACGTCAGTGACAAACACAATTATACAGTTCCGTAAATCTGGTTTACCAGAATGGTTTATCAGCGCGCTACAGCATAAAACGGAGGGGAAAAAACATCGTAGGGCTATTCTAAGCAGTCCAATTATACGGAGCAAGATATCACTGATACATGTTATAAAAACATTTCTAGGACAAAAAGAAAAAAAGGTGTCGCCTCAGTTATAGTGACACTGTTGAACATCACGCCCTGCGGCGCACGTTAGACGCATCGTTTAACTACAATCTATATTCCCTACATGGGGAGTTCACTATAAACGAACTTAGGATACGGAAGTGAGTGAATGGATAACAAAGAAAGCCCACATAATAGCCACGGCACAGGTCGCGCCTTCAAGTAGTTTGCGTTCAGAAAGGCACTCAACGTTGGGGACGCTTTGTTGGCATTTTGAGAGGTCATCCTTCTCGTAGTTTGTTTCCTGTCCTCTTCTCTGCTTATCAATGTTCCCTTACAGACAGTGTTCGCGAGAGCAGTAAGTGACAAACTGACGACACAAAAAGAGCAAAAAAAAAAATCTCGACGTTTCGCAGTAGCGTTGTACAGCAAGCAAACGTTGTACAATACAACAAGCGACGTTTTACAATACAACAAGCAAAAAAAAAGTGTCGTCTTTTTGTGTCCACTTCTCATTTTCTCCTATTTGTTTTTTGTTTTTTGTTTTGTTTTGTTTTTTTTACACTGTAGTGCGCATTGCTGTCGTGGGCTGTATTCCGTTCTGCGTTGTACCTCTGTCTGGAAGTCTTTACTTCCGTAAAACCACCCCTTTTGTTTGAGGATCTTTTGGACGAACTGTAGGAAACAAAAGGCGCCTCTGGGAAGGCGAGGGGAAAAATCTTTATTGTACGAACTTTGGGGTCAAATATGAGTCACAATTGGCGCAAATGCGATGTTTTTACGAGCTCAATCTAAGTCGCCGTAGCTCATCGGAGCCAGCAACAGGATTTGGTTATTCGAAAAAATGTTCCCGTTTGCTCGTGCCACGCCCACGCCACTTTATACCGAAAAACTCGGAAAATGGTGGAATGTCAAAATTGTATTCGAGATGATGAGTAGAAGATACTCAGGAATGTAATCGAAATACAGTATCGAATACTCTCGATCAAAACTATTTGCAAGATACTAAGATACTTCAAAAGGTATTTGAAATACAGCATCTTAAATAGAGTATTTGAGATAAACACAAGTCTGGGTGATATGAAATATAGAGAGGGAGCTCGAGGGAAGGGTCGGCTGTCAGAGCCTCGTGATGCTGCAAGTGAGACCGCCTCATAACAAACGTAATAAAGGCAATATTTCAAGAGTGGCAGCACAAAAAGATAATGGGATGACCGGGCGGTTTTCCATAATGGTGCGTTCACCTCTGTTTTTAGATTTTACGTGATTTACATTAATAAAATAACACATATTAATTTATAAAATATAACTGAGGTATTTCTTTAAGAAAACCAAAACTAAAACGTTGACACGTAATGTAGGCTGCAGCTCAGCTACTTCGTGAGAAAAAAAAAGTATAATAAAATGAAAACATCCCTAAAAAGAAAATATTTTATAATGACACTCTAGCTATCAATAAAATCATTTTTATTCATAAACACTCAAACATGCGTGGTCAAGATTCGTCATATTAGTGTGGTTTTTAGTGTCAGTGTCTGTAAAACAAGTCATTGCCATGAAAGGAGAAAGCCATCTGGTCTTCCCCTTTTTACTGGCTATTCTCCTGGTCCCCGGGTGCGAATATATTTGATGATCAACACAGTGTTTTCTAACTTGCCCATACATTATTACATTAATATCTCGTGTTCTTGCGTTTATTATCTACAGGCACTGTAGCGTGTTAGGGAGATATTCACAAAAGGCATGGCCCCATGTTTCAGTATTACTGCTCCGCAAGCGTAACTATCCAACTTGAAGAGTCGGCCAAATATACACTCATACCGCCCCAGTTTTCCGTACAGGAGGTAGCAGCAGCGACCAACCACCATTTCTGTAAGGGCGTAAGTGATTCAAAAATATCCAAAAGCTCAACGTCGTTTTTTATTGCACTTAAAATCATTGTGATTCTGTTCAGGTGTTGGGCCGTTGAAACAAAACACGCTTACTGATGTGCACCCCGGTAAAAAAAAAAAAAAAAAAACAGCCCGTTTTTTAAGAGACGTGGACGTTCCAGAGCGTGCGTACGTTTTCAGTGAGGACATAAACCACGAAAACAGCACAGCCTTCTCCTCGCTTCATCGCTGTCTTCTCCTCTCCATTGTGTTTTTTTGTTGTTTTTTTTTTTCGTGAGGTTGGGGGTTGACAACAGCTCCGGAGGCCTTGACGACAGCTAGGAGAGTGTGTGAGTGGCTATGTCCTACGTCAGGAGCACGCTTCAAAACTTTGTTCAAGGACACTAGTTGTGGGTCACTTTCCCCCCGGCTTGACGAGCACAGCGTTTGCTGGACGGAAGCTTCCGCTTCCGTCCAGCAAACGCTGTGCTCGTCAGAAAGCGTGAACCCTGTGGATAGCCCGGTTCCTTCGTGACCGTCTACGACTCGGTCCCCCTGCAGGTGCTGTTGTCGCGCTCCCTCAAGGTCAAGCGCACGGAGGGCGAAGGCATCGCAGAGTTCAGCAACAGCGAGTTCGTACAACAGTGCCTTCGCACTCACAACGAGCTCCGGCTCAGGCACGAAGTCCCGCCCCTGCAACTCTGTTACAAGGTAGGCAGGGTTCTGATGAACCGCCGTCACTATTGAGAAACAGCCAGCCTCCTGCGTGAAATGTAGGGGATACGGAGAGAAACGGAGGGAGAGAATGAGACGAGAGCACGAAAGGACGCCAGAGCGCCGATCTCTGATTGGACTGAATAGTGGGAAGACGCAAAGGCAAGCTGCCTTCATCTTTACTAACTGCCTCCCTCCAATAAAAGCGAACATGTCGTCTGCTCTTCGCGCTGTGTCTCAAGTTCAAGCGCTGAACGCCGCGTTCTGCGTTTGAAAGCATTAGAAACAGTTTGTAAAAACAAAGACCCCCCCCGCCCCCCCTTTACCCCGAGTCCAGATACTTTCTCCAGCGTATGGGAAATGCATGTGATTCAACTGTGAGGCAAAATGTTTCTTGGCACTCAACAAGGTGTTTGTTTGGAGATGTAGCATCATGGACTCTGCATTTTGTTCTGATCTTCCCATGCAGTCGCTTCAAGAAATGTCGGTAGTGATATTTTAGCTGCCATCTGTCTAGAGTGTGTGAAGGTAATTCACTAGAAAACACTTTTAGAAATTCATAAGGTGGGGCCATGGCCTTCCCCGCACATGAAATTCATTTTGTTTTCTTTAGAGTCGAAATCTGTAGAGGCTTCCACTTTTTTGTATCGGACTGGCGACAAATCGAAGCGCTAATAATCTTTGCATATCGGTATAGTATAAACTATCGCGTATGATACCGTAAAAATGCAAGCATATAGTGATAGACCTTCATACATAGGTCTTTTTCTTTTTCAAACGCTCTCATAAGAGCCCCACTAACCGCGAAACCGGGAGATTCTAACAAGTTCTCCTGCGGAAACCAGATTAAAAAAAAAAAAAAACGATTTTTTTTTATCTTAGTTACAAGAGCATTGGCATTTATTTTACAGTTGACTCAACAGAAACCACCAGCGTAAAAAAAAAATATATACCAGATGTTTCACAAAATTGTGTGCGTCTCCGGAAAGAAAGAAACGGTTTGAATAGCCCGCGGACTTGTCGCCCCCTGTGTAACAAAGTATTCGCTGGTCTATAATTGCTGGCGATTCAAGAAACGCAGGGCGTTGGGGAGCTCCGAGATTCTCGTGATCCCTCCGTGGTCAATGAGATGGCGGCATTATCTGGAACAAAAACGCAAAAGAAACAATTACGAACCACGAACTTTGAACGTCCAATCCCCTGGCTTCTCGAGCTGTTGGCGACTGTACGGCATGCAAATTCGACTGCTCCTAGCGCACCTGGTGCGTCTCTTCACCCCCCAAATGCGTCCACGTGCCTTGGTTTCCCACCTATTACAACCGATGACGGCGTTCGCTGGCCTGCCTCGTCATCGTGCGCTCCCTACGAGTTATCTATGTTGTCCTTTGATTGGCGTCCCCTTCCCTGCATTCCTGCGCCAAAGAGGCATTTCGGAACACTTGCTCGCCGTACATATAGCTATGCTTCTGGTTTACGTCTCACCTTTACGGAGCTTCACGGCAAAGGGTGGTGCAGTGCGAATGATACAAAAGGATTTGTATCGTATGCCTTCCTTAGAAAGAGCAGTTGAATTTATAACGCCGAAGACACAGGCGAGCTGCGGTAAAGCTTCAACAGGAACCCGAAACCAAGGAACAAATAATTAAAAGGCATACAAATAACAAAAAAGACTAATCGTTTTTTTTTTTATTATTTTTAAGTTGCAGCTGTAATATTTTGGTTTAAATTTCCCATTTTCAATGCCTACGATACTACTAGCACAAAACACTTTTGTGTCCTGTCCCTTGCATTTCATTCACGGGTTTCCACTGTGTTAACTGCATTCCCCGCGAAAAGTAATGTTAACTGTTTAACTTCGTGGCATTCGCGCAGAGATCACACTCACCACTCAGGAACGTGTTTACCGATATCATCACAGTCGACTGCTTCATTTTAAAAGTGACCTCTTCTGTCGCACCCTTTGTAATCAGCCGCCAACTACGTCGTGAGCTCGAAATAGCTCTTTGTGCCAAAGCCGCGCTAGCAAGGGCTTGAATAGACCTAATTCCCGCTGTCACTCTCTCAGCATAGCTGAGACGACCGCCGCGAGCAGGATAAGACATTTTTGTTGACGAAGTTAAGCGTGGCAGGAGCCAAGGGTACATGTACCCTTTCGCTTTTAGTTCATCGACAGTCACTTATTTCGTCATAAAATAGCGCAGGAAAAGCGAGCAGATATTCAACTTTCCCTTGAACTAGAGGATCCGGCATATTTTCGCGCGCTTATATCGATATTATGTTGCCCATTTCAAAACCTGTTTGGTTTCTGATATGAGAACATATTCATAACCTGACTCCTTAACTACATACAAGTGAGTAAATTCTTACAGGTACAATTAAACTCCTCCCAACGTTGTTCTTGTGGTCAATGCCGTTTCTCCCCTCTCGCATATTCGTACATATTTCTTCGCGACGAGCAAGAACACAGACCAAGTAACTTGTGAGTCCAGGCTTCATATATGTGGCAAACACGTGCAGCTCTGGCCAAGGACTCACTAACGGCAGATTAAAGTTTTAACATTTAAACTCTTCGTCTGCATTTTTCCCCCCATCAACATGTTGTCAATAAGAGTACAGGGGTACACGACATCTTATTCGTTTTTGGTTAACGGCTTTCCTTAATATTTGGCAGCTCTGCGATCTTGCCCAGTACTGGGCCAACCACCTGGCCCACACGGACGACTTCTACTACCGCAAGTTCAGGGACGTCGGGGAGAACCTTCTGTGCCGCTGGTCCTACGTTCCAGACTTCGACATCACAGGTTGAGCACCTTTCGCCTCTTGGCGCTAAGCTCGCTCGTCGCAAAGGCATTGTCCTCGAAGTCGCCCGAGCGACACAATAACCTCGATGTTTTTGTTTGTCTTGTCCTTTGCAGGCGAGCAGGTAGCCAGATATTGGTATAGCGAAATCAAATACTACGATTTCTTCCTGGATCCATCTATACTTCACGTTCAAGCAGGTAAGCAAACAGAGCAAAATAAAACAGAAAAATGTCGTTCATGTGAGAAGTGTGCATCGAGCACAGGATAAAGGCTCACCAGCCTTTTACGGATTCGAGCCACTAAATTTCTCTACCAGAAAAAAAAAAAAAAATTCTTCCGATTATAGTCATGTACATACGTTATGAATTGCACGACAAAAGTAAAATAAACCATTGCTTCTAACTGTTATATAGAAATAGCCTCAAAAAATTAAAATAATTTTTGTAGGACGAAGTTTGAGTAGTTTCTAGATATATTAAATTGACTTTTTTAGGGCGAAACGCTTCAAATTTCGCGGCAAGGGTCCTAAAACTTTTCTATCTCAGGAACTCGCCTTTTTATCTTTTTTTTTTTTTTATGAACATTTGTCAAGCCTTTCATGTTCCCGGTTTTAACGAAATAAAGCAGTGCAGAAGCCTAACAGACCTTGTAAATCATACTGATCGTACTATAATTCAGTCGCCATTAAGTACGAGATCTCGACGTCGTTGCTTTGAAGCGTTCCTTTGCAGAACGAGTGAGACCTAGAAATGCATGTCTCAAAGCCAGGAGTGTGGCCAGGAGGACTGCAGTCAAAGGTACAAGCTCGCGCTTGTAGCTCTGGCTGCAGTCTCAGCTTAAGGGTAAACGGAGTATATGGGGTGGATGGCACAATTTTATGCGCCACTAAAGATGGCTAGCTCATATATTTTAAAATAGTGTCTGGAAGAACATTTGGCATAGGGGCAGGAACTGCTGAGGAAATCTGGAAGCTAGGGAGTCTCTGAGGGTACTCTGGAGAACCCGCCGGTTCCTAGGACCCAGCTTGAGAACCCTTGTTCTAGGGCAGGTATGAACAAACTGTGGCTCGCGTGCAGCATGCGACTGCGCGGGCATTCAAGTGCGACTTGCTGCTTCCTTATAAGCGTAACTCTCTGCTCTCTATCGCGCGCAAGACCAGAAGGAAAGAGAACAGATAGCTTCCGTTTGGCAGCTTTTGACGACCCTAGCTTGCGGGCCAGAGCCTTCTGTCGATATTTGGTGCGATGTACTGCTGTGAGGCACTCTTCTCAACAATGTAGGCGGTAAAATCAAAACAGTCTGCAGCCTTGACCGACGAAGACCGAACAGAGCTGCTCGGGACTGCAAGTGACGTCATTCGAGCCGAACTTCAATGTGTTAGTTTCATAAATAGCAACGCAATATTAAAAAAAAAGAAAAAAAAAGGATGTTGAGAAATTGTTTTGCGAATAGAATTTTCGCCGCAAACTGAGATAAAAAAAAAAAAAACACAAATGCAACTGCCACGATCGCGCCCTTTATATTGTGGCTCTTCACTGCGTCATCAGCGTAAAGCGATAAAAAGAACGACCATCACAAACACAGCCTGTGTGGCCATTTTCCACCGCGTGGCGTCCGTGACGTAGGTATAGTCGCCGAAACAATGCGAACGGGCGCCGGCACGCACTCCGTGCCTTCCGCCGTGCTGCGTGTGACCGCTCGATATGCACGAGATGCCGAGACGCCGTAGCGTCGAAGGTACGAAGCTCGCGTACCTTTGACAATTGAAGCCTGCTGTCCTCACCTCGTCAGTGACTATTAGTGACGTGCGCGATCAAAAGCGTCGCTGTGGGTGGCCTTCTACGATTTGCTGAATGCTAGTTATGACCTCTGCAAAGGATTTTTCATCGATGGAAGCATGAGGAACGTAAGAACTACACTTTTGACGGTGTTAGCGTTCTTGGTTTAAGAGCGCTATGATTTCAAGCTTCCACAATGCTCATTACAAACACCATCTAACTTGTTATTGCCAAGATAAGGACATCACGAGAGGAAACCACTGGAGGGCGCCACCAAAACATCTCGCCGCTAGCGTCTCATCCTGCGATGCCAATGCTACAGGCCGCCAGGTCCAATCACGAGTCTGTTAGAAACCACGTGGTATATTTGCTCCGTCGTACGTATCAGTGCGCCAAGACGCGTCATGCGGAGGCGAGTGTTTTGTCTGCTTATCGAGCCCTCGCGGCGGCTCCGTCTGATTGCTACTACTGAAGGTTACTGAAGGGATTAAATACCATCTGTAAGCGATTGGGCAAAGAGAACCCGTAAACAGAACCTGTGGCCATTAAGAAATGAAGATGAGTCGGATCGAGTATGTACGGGCCACGTGCGGAAGGGAGATACGGGTCCGGGTATGTTTTAGGTACACCAAGATTGGATTAAATTAGATTGCTATGGCTTAGGCGAAACGACTTTATGTTAATGTTGCCTGCGCGCCCTCCAACTGCTCCAAAAAGTAGACATGTTAACGAAATATGGAATGCATGTTTATCAAACTAAGTATTCTGTACCTTTACTTCACCAATATAAAATAGCGCTCTGTCACATCATAGAACCATACGCGTAAGATTAGTGTTCTTCGTACCCTGCGTATCGGAATATCTCTCGCGCACTTTTTCGCAATGCGGATGTAAGCTTTTCTGAGGTAGTGTTCCGCCCGCCAGCCTTCGGGCAATAGTCCGTCGTAGGGTGAGACGGAATATAGTGACGCATTGTTAACGCGGGTGATCGTCTCATCCGTTTCTACGCACCAAGTCATCATTTACGAAGAAACACGCGATTGTCCGCAGGAGCTATATGACAACTGCGCATGCGTACACTCTAAGAAATCTGGAGCGCCTGCCCCTCCCGCAAAGTACCTGAGAGAGCCAATGGCTGCAACCAACGGAGAGTGCTCGGCCGATGACGGGGCCGATATATATGTTCAGACCCCGTCATTCACCGAGCTTCCTCCGTAAATGGCAGCGATTGGCTCTCTCAGGCGGGAGGAGCAGAAGCTCCATATTTTTTAGTTGCCTGGGCAAAGAGCGAAGCATCTGCACCTGACCCATTCCACAGCCACCTTTACAAGACCTCGGAGACATGGGTGGGTGGTGCACATGAACACCTTCAGTGGGCTGCCTTCGCTCCTATGGACCGACACGCGGGCTTGACGTCACGGAGCTGCGGCGGCGCTGCGATCGCGCCGGAGCCGGGTGGTGCGGGCAGAAGGGCGCACGTTTCGCATGGGCGTCATAGCATTTCAGCATGCCGCGAAGCTGTGTTGCCGTTAATTGCACCGAAAGGTGCAAAAAAAGTAGCGGAGTGAGTTTCCACAAATTCCCGGAAGACTCCGAAAGGCATATAATGTGGATAATATCCGTGGATCGAAAAGAATGGTCACCTGGCGCGAACGACCGTTTGTGCTGCAAGTACTTTCTCGAAGGCAAGAGCGGCTTCCATTTCAATCTCCGTCCCGAGGCTTGCTTATGTGCAGGGAAACCGTAGTCTGACCGAGACCACCCGGATTTTGTTCCCACGGTGTTCGCGCACAAAGCACCGGCCAAGCGCTCGTCGGAGGCTCGCTACGCCCGTGCTACCAAGCAGAAGGGGATCGGCGACAGCACGGCAGTGTTGTAGGCTTTACCGAAAAAAAGTAACGAAATACGTTACTCGTTACTTGAAAATAAAAGGTACGCGTTACCACTACCGATAAAAAGTAACGCAGATTACTTCTGCGTTACTTTTTAAATTATGATTTGACACGTTATACTGTTTTGACGATACAGGTATGCATAAGCTCATATATCAAGAAACAATACGCTCATCCAGAAACTGAATATAATTACTTTATCTCTCTTTACTGTTTCACCTACAGATTCAGGAGAAAAAACGCGAAGAAAAACGCAGAAAACTCAGAGGTTCACATGGCGCTTGACGCCTAAAGACACGGAAAAAATTGAAGTGTAATTTCTTTAAGGCTTGGGAAGTAGTAACGAGTAACGTAACTACGTTACTTGAAATGGTAACGTTAGTGCGTTACCCGTTACTGTGTCAAAAAAGCAACGAGTGGGTTACTATGTTACTGAAAAAAGTAACGCGTTCCTGGTAACGCCGTTACTTGCAACGCGTTACCGCCAAGATTGCAGAACGGACAAAGCGTTACTGCTTATCATGCCTTGTGGTCATGAGGGTAGAAAAAATATCATACCGTGACTTGAGAACGCTGTGTGTGTATTTAATCAATTAATACATACACTTCCGCAGACCCACAGTCTGCTGATTCCGCCGTTAGTGCGGAAACCGACTCGAAGTAATCGTAGGCCTCAAGAGACTTGTACGCTTGCACCGTGTCGGCCGTGAACTGGCTAGGTGGAAAAACTAAAATAACGACGACGTGAACCGTCGACTTCGGTGGCAGCAACTTCACGTCGGAAGTCCAGCAGGCCTTGTTTGCGGCGTAGGGAGCCTCGAAGGCAACGCCGTCCACGCACAGTTTGTCTCGATACCGCTGCCGTTCAGGCTCAGGTAGCGAGCTCAAAGAGTCGGGCATGGCATACGACATACGTGGTCAGGGAATACGACGCACAAATAAAGCTAGAAGCGTCCCTACAACGTCAACAATGATCGCACGCCTCACAACGCAATAGCGAAAACACGGAGAGCCGGGCCGCTTTTGCCCGCGCATAGCTTTCCCGCACGCGGTGCCTTCCGGCCGTGTTGGTAAACAGAGCCGCTCCGCCCTGTCGGTCTATACAATACATATTTATTTCTCCCTTACCGATGCTCTCCCACTGGCGACCTTATCTCCGGAGAAGAAACGTGCCCGTACTACCAAGTCGTCGCGTATTTACGCCTGGGGATTTCCTTATTGCTTCCGTTTTAATTTTACAACCTACACCCTCAAGCTTTTTTTTTTTTTTTTTTTTTTTATTTGGATGCGTTTGGTGTTTGGCGGAAGTCTGTCGGAATGCTGTCGTTTTAGTACGCAACTCTCGAGCGTTAGCGCGAGAGTGGATTACGTGGTCGGCATCGCTCGGCAGGTGGCGAGACAAAGTCGCGTGGCAGAGGCTGATTAACGTGCTTGATTAAAGAGGCGACAGTCTGGCGGGTCAAAGCATAGTCAACATAAACAATGGTTAGTTATTGAACGCTAAGGTAAAAATCGACGCAACATAAATGACGTTATTACACCCTTAAAGGCCGGTTTATCCACACATCGCAGCGCTAAATCAACTCTGAGCTGCGCTGATGCAGCGCTGTCTTGAACGTAACTTAACCGTATCAGCGCCGTATCGGTATACTATAGTGCGATATAGTAATATAGAAAGGCGGTAAAATCAGAACAGCGTGCAGCCTTCACTGACGAACACTTAACTGAGCTGCTCAGAACTGCAACTATTTCATTTAATCAATCAATCAATTAATTTATCTCCGTTTTAGAAGGGAAGGCATGAAAAAAGCAGCATTTATAGCAACTTGACGATGTCCTCGCTTTGAAGTACTTCATGAATGGGGACGCACAAAAAATAACACGTAGAAGAAAGAGTAAGTAAACAGACGAGCTGGTTGATGTTACAAGTATTTGAAAAAACCGGAGACGGCGGACGAAGAAAAGGACAAATACACGTCTCTAACGTAGCTACTAAACTTTATTGACACAACCGTTATTTATATACCATCTCTCACACACAAGTCTCCCGGAATTTGCCCACACGTCTTTGTGAAACTTCCACCACGGTACAACGGGTTGTGACCTCAATTGAAAGAACAACCTTCTCGCAATAGTGCGATATAGTAATATAAAAAGGCGGTAAAATTAGAAGAGCGTGCAGCTACACCACAAACAATTGCTTTACAAACGATTTTTCAATATTTTTTTTATTAGCGCTGAGGTAGCTTTGTAGTGTATGTGTGTCAACAGGGCTTTAAGAATAATTTCTATAGGGCGACAGAAGTACAAGTCTAGACACGCAACATAAAGCCGTTTAGATCGTGCTAATATAAAGAAGATTAAAAGTCTACTCTCTATTGGTCGCGGTTGGCAGTTGATCTAAAGGCCTAAACAAAGACCTTCTTCAAAATAATTGTTTTTTTATGGATTATTTAACTAAAGCCGGGGGTCACACTGCTTACACATCATACAAAAGACAGTCTGCAGACAGATTCGAACGCCAGTCACCGCGAGATCCGCACTTCGAAAGCCGCATGGCAATGAGTTCAAGGAGAAAACTTGGCACGCCGCATTCGAACCACGGATATCGTGCAATGATATCTGCAGACTGTCTTTTGTATAATGTATGAACAGTGTGACCCCGGCTGAAAAGTACGACAAGTATTTGCCTCGGGGAACATTGAAACATCTCTAAAGATATTCAAACAAAAATTCTGATCCATTTAGTGATTGTGCGAGTTTTATGCCGCCTTCAACTAGGCAAAACGACCGCAGTTTGAAATGTATATTCGGGCCAGAAGGCCATATGTAACGCACTACGTACTATTTGTAGATCATTCGAGCCTGGAGTTTATTTGTTTGTAGCGATGGGATGCTCTGGAATTTAGAAGGGCCCCTGCCTGTCGGATAGTTTTTTAATGATCTAAAATAATTAGGGAACGACGAATCAATAGCAGTGTTCGACTTGCATCGTCCTACTCTTCCAGGTGATGCATTCGACTTTTGAACGCGATGTAGCGAATTGCCCCGTACTGCATCCCCGCGTTTCTCCCGGTTATCGTTGTTTTTTTTTTTTTTTTTTTTTTTTACCTACAAAACAAAATAAACATGCAGACGAAAAGCTCTGACCGTTTCACAGTATAGCTCACAGGCGGCTCCGAATATATACACGGAAGGCTTCATACTCAAGCTAAAGTCTACAACATTCTGTATTCCCTTTCACCTTATACCATGGAGCGCACGATGACGCTACCAGCCATCAAAGACAATCAATCGTCGCGAAAGTGTCACGTGTACTTCGGAAGAGGCGCAAGGACGTGCTGAACGCGTAGTCAGGTAATGCGTTAATTCGCAGCGCTGGATCGGCTGGGATGGCTCGTAGCGTCAGCTGTGGTCCATCAGACGGAGGATGATAGTTGCCTCCCATTAGATCAAGCTCTATCAAGAGACAAGAAGGTGCGACTGGAGCATTTCACTGACATGGCAATCAGAAAGACGTCACATCTAACATTTCACAGAGCTTCCTTTAAAGGGGCTGTGCAACGATATTGGGTAGGAACGTTTCTCAATTTACATCAGCTTATTGCCCCTAATGGGACCCAAGAATACTCGAACATCACGCCATTTACAAGAAGCGTCTTTCTTCGCGGTGGAATCATCGAGGATTAAAAGGGACCTTTTCTTTCAGTTTTTCCTTCGCAAAATTTGATGACGGAGCTGGGGAAGACAACGCCAGCAATGCGATCCCCAGGAGTGCGTCATCGAGCTTCGCGATCGCCGTTGTGACGATATTTAAATGCTCTTCATGTAGTAAACACCAAGTCCGCGTGGGCATTCAATTTTGGACCGTGACAATCAATTCCTCGACAGTACATTCGGCTAGTGGATCGTGCTTAATTGCAGGGGTGATGGCAATAGCTGAACCTTAACAATGCTTGGAACTCAGTGCGCGCCCCATGCTCTGCCAACCCCAACCAGTGGCTATGTTAAAAATCATTGTCGGCATGTAATGGGCTCCAGATCACGTGCCCGCTTTTTCTGAATACGAGTTGAGGAGATAAACGGTGTTCGTTATTCTAGAAGTTTTTCTGCGACTTCCATCGCGCAGAGAAAAGAAGAAACGTGTGTTCCATAGGTTATAAATGTCAAGGAACAGTTCTAATATGTATTTATTTAAAGTATAACAAAATATTTCATCGCCCCTTTAAACGCTCTAATCCTAGAGCGAACGTAAGACTTAGCATCTGGGGATTTTATATAATAATATGACGTGGAGGTACATTTAAAGGCTGCGAAGTCCCACTGGGTATTTCATTGAGACTGCCTCTAACTGTACCTTATACAGAATCTTTAAATTGCCCTATCGCGGAAAGGCTAATACTTGTTTTACATGCCTTGGCATTTTGAGACGGCGCCCCCCCGCCCCTCCCCAGGAAAATGCTCATCTGTATCACGATACGGACGGTCTCTTTTCCTCCATCACGCTTCTTCCTCCGCTTACTGCGCGCGTGCGCTGGTCGCGGGACGAGGCAATCGCTGAATGCGCAGTCACATTCGCAATAAGGAGTGTTCGTAGATCGTTCCGAAAACTCCGATAACGATACCCGATACTCCGCAGACGCCTTTACGCGTTCACTGTAAACCGTCATCGGGTTTCGCTATCGGAGTTATCGGAATGGTCTACTAAAACTCCCCAATTCTTCGCAAGAGGAAGGAGCAGAAAAGAGGAGAAGAGATAGTTGAACGGGAGCGGTGACGTGCTGGACTACAGATGACAGTGCTCGACGTGCCGGAGAGACAGACGGAGAGAAAAAAAGACGTTTGGCTCGAGAAATATCGCCTTCATCGAAGAAAAGCAAATGCTGTCGTAGTTCGATGGAGCCTCTAGCGAAGCAAAGCGGGAACGCGGTCTCAATTTTGTTGCAGTTGTTGTTTTGTTTTACGCATAAAATTGCAAACCACTAAAAGCCGCAGTCACACTGCCGATATATCATACAAAAGTCACAAAGTTTCTCCGCAGACACGATGAGAGAGTTATCTGCGGACAAGCCTATATTCCAAGCATGTTTGCTTCGTACATGCTTTGAACATTTCTGCAGACAGTTTTTGAATGACCAATTTGAACGTCGTGTGCAAGGAAGAAGCGCGCCTCAGACAGCCTTTTATCAGTGTGACTCCGACAATGCGTTCCTTTTCATTCCGTCTTTCTTTCTTCTTTATTCATCCAGGCCATTTTAGCCAGATGGTGTGGCGTAGCAGTTCCGACTTCGGCGTGGGCAAGGCCCGCACCCGCTGCGGCAAGATCATCGTGGTGGCGATGTACAAACCGGCCGGAAACGTCCTCGGCGAGTTCCAGAGCAACGTGCTGCCCCACCCGCTCCCCGCGGACAGTGCGTCGCCGCAAGCCAGCGCATCGTCGTCCTCCACGTGAACGGGGAGCTTTAGTGGATCGTTCCGGGAACTCCGACAACGGTACCCGATGCCTGGCTGACGCATTTGCCCGTGCGTCGTATCGTTGTCGAGTGTCGTTACCGGGATTATCGGAACGATCTACTAAAGCTCTCGAACACCTCGAAGCCATCTTAAACGACTTCCATCGGGAAACGCAACACTCCCGGAACTGTTTCACAGGAATGATCAGAAACCAACGACCTTTCTGAAGCAGTTTCTCGGGCGCTCTTTAAGCGGTTAACATATGGGAATGCTGAAACAACTCCAACGGTTAATAGGAAGTGTTCGTGTGCTGCCCCTTAAGATTACTAGTGATCCGATCATACGGCGTTGGTAAGGCTTATATTTTTCTCGCTGAGGCAGTGTAAAACTGGAGGTGACGCACGAGCTTGAAGAAGGTCTAACGTGAAATTGGAATTACTCTCCAACCTGCAATAAGGGGGACCGATCTCACTAGCCAGTTTGACCAGAGCCGTGTATATAAACGGCTCTGAGTTTGACTAGCCACTGCTGCCGCAATAGATCGAGGGAACTTCAGTCTTTCTGCGCCTGCAATAATCTTGCTGGAGCTCTGCGCTTGTCGAGTACGAGACGGCACGAGCCCTCGCACGTACGGCCGTCTGCCCCCCGTGAACTAAAGTTATGGCGGCGTCATGCATGCGTCGAACGCTTAGTGAGATTGGTCTATTGTTTCGCCCTTTTGCGCCTTTTGTTGCAATATGTTCTGATTTCAGAAGCATTCCCTTAATTACAAGAACTCGTTGCGTAACAAGTTTAGTGTATAGGAAATTCGTCACACAACGAATACGTTATAATAATTCGAGTGTATAGATCTCTCGAAGAAAAATCTACGCAATCGATCTGGTGGTTTTCTTTTTTTTTTTTTTTTTTTGGGGGGGGGGGGGGGGGGGGAGAGAGCTTATTGCGTAAAGGCAGTTTTGCTAATTTATTGTTCCTGCAAAACTGTGGTCTTTGTGGCGTGCGTCACGCAATGGAAAATCTGTGCGTATTCCCTGCGTCTCTGAGTTGACATTCCTAGTCTCAGTGTTGACAATGTCATCACCTTTTTTTTTATTTCTTGTAGCGTATTAAGGAGTGTGAAAGGCAAGAAGATACGCGCCTGCTCACGAACAAGGATGTCATTTATTATTTTTTATGACATTGCAATATTTGGACATTTTTAATTCTTTTTGCACTTTCTTTGAAACAGAGGTGCATAGATTGTACGGCTATAGCAAACACACCTCAGCAATTGTATCTGCGTGTGTGTATGCGTGAGGGGGGGGGGGGGGGGGGGGGGGGGGGGGCTAATTCGAACAGAAACGAAATGTGAACGTACTACTTCTGACACCGCAGCAAGAATTTATGCCCCGTGGGATTCGTTGCCGCCTTAAAAAAAATGCCAATACTTCCACTATAGTGGCTTCGCGTACGGAAACTTTCCCAGCTACCAGCTTCAGCAATAATCCCTTCGACTGAGAGCAGATGATGGAGTACCATAATAATTACCACATTACATTTCTTAGAACCTAAAGATCGAATACCCCGACAAAATGTGTAGACAATGTCAATTTAGAGTATTATGCGCGCACTCCGGCGTGTTAAATAAGGTGCTAACCAGGTGCGTTTACCATGAAGCACATTCTGAATGACTTGAAGGTTGTCCAAATAAATACGCAATTGAATAACCACCTTCTTATCAAATCGTGACCACACGAGGTGCGTCGTCGAGAAGACCATGTTAGATGGCACTTTATTTCGCACAAGGGGAAAGTTAGGGCGGCTCACTTACAGATTAGGGGGGGGGGGGGTTATTACAATAGCCTGTTTGGCGATGAAAAAAAATATCTTAAAGATCGGCATTGCCTGAATTTGTCAAGATTGTACAAAACTGATTTGTAACTATCAGTTCTGAAACTATACGTGACCGACATCGTACACAAAGACTCCTACCCTCTTCAGTAGCCACCCGCTGCCGATGTAGCGGTCAACATTGTACTTCTTGTATAACATAAAAGGAGTACATTCTAGAAAATGGGAATCATATACTTAGGTAGAAGTAATTAGACCTCATGTGTCAATATCATTAAGGGGGGGGGGGGGGGGGGTCGCGATCTTGGCTGGACATACCTTCAGTTCTTGCTTGCTAATCCTCCTCGCCGTGTGCGAGTGTAGACCGGTACTTCGTTCTCATAAGTGTGAAGTAACGGAGAAACGTTTCTTGTTGGAGAGTAAGTAGTGATATGTCTCTATTCGAGGAACGTATATCACGCAGACGGAAAAAATTAACTTTGCATCTTTGAACGTTCGTTAGGTTAAAGGCTACTTCAAACACTTTGACGTCCAACTGCTTTCCACGGGACATGCTAAAAACCGGTTCCAGTCCTCTTATGACTGTTTATGACCGTCTGCGAGTAAGCAGTCAAAAGACCACAGAAGTTTAACTATCTGTTATTAGCCTCTCCGGTCGTATGCAGTCGCACGAGTGAGTGAACCAAAGTTAAGACTCCATTCAGAAAATTTCGAGTCTTTGTTCATCAGTTTTCACCGGCTTCTCATAAGACTAACCTTGATCTTGTGTACTGGCTGAGTATACAAGAGGATACCAGACACCTTAGAAAAGAGAGCCCTGAATCATTGGTCTATTGGTTTACATTTACATAATGAAATCGCAAACATTATTTGCGAATGCACGTATTACAGGCTTCTAAAATGCCTAAAATATATATAAAGATAAGAACAGTGTCACAATATCTCAGTAGTCTAGCTGGACAACCATCGGCTGTGCAATCGTTCGATCTTCGTATAAATCAATAGACCGGTACTCTTTTTTATAATATGAACAAACTTTATTTCATGATCCCAAACTTAAATAGTGGTGAGTTTACACGCACATTACACCGGTTCTGACAATAAAGAAAAAAAAAGAAATAGATAGAGAAAGCACAATTTATATAAAATAAATAAAAACTCAGTGCAACGATACAAACACGGGATGTAGGTACAGTGCTAATCACACTTGTCTATAACGCGCGAGCGTGCGGCTTTCTCTGGGGAGCGCTAGACTGGTGGCATTCGCGGAAACTAAGCTAGTCACGTGGTGCAACATGGAACGGCCCGCTCGAGGGGTGTCCTGCCCACGCTATCAGCTGGCGGCGAACGCGATTTTTTCGGCCGCTCACCAGTCACCTAGCTGTGTTTGGAGATTTCTGTTTGTCCTTTGTCCCTCTTGTTCCCCTTCTCCAGGGATTATTTTCATCAGTCTAGCGCTCCCCGGAGAAAGCCGCACGCTCGCGCGTTATAGACAAGTGTGATTAGCACTGTACCTCCAACTCTTACCAAAGTTTCAACACTGGACTGCTGCTCCATGTCGTGGAAAGATGGTAGGAATACTGTATTATTGCTCGTTGTTCCCTTTCTCTCGAGAGCCATCTATATGGTGTTCTCCATACAAAACCGATGTATCGAGCAATGTTTCAAATTAGTATATTAAGTTACCTCTCAGGCGAAAGGGGCGAGATTGAGGAAATGTATTTCGTTAGCAATATACTCAGCGTTGCCTCATAACTCTCCGTGCCAATTTAGTGATATAGGATCGTACAATCTCCGCGTATTTTTACGACGCATTCGCTATAGTTCTATATACTCGTACGACACCTGCTCATATTTAAGCGGTTCGTGCGTCAGTGTACTATCGCACCACTTATCATCTATACAATATATATAGGAGCATCCATTGAATAGTATGCCTTACACTTGCCAACGCCTTTTAGAGTCACTGACACGGACCGAAGGATACACAGGGTGTGGCATCTTGTGTTCACGCTTCTCGCTTCGTCATTGGTCATTCCGCGTCCTTATCGGCTAATGGCGCAATCTCACTGGCTGGAGAGCTTACGATCATGTAGGGGACTCGCCACACCCTGCGCTTCTGAAACTGTCGGTGACTATAAGTTGCTTCGCATAATCCTGTGGAACTGTGGAAACTACGCAGAACGCAAGTTCGTCTTCTTCTTGCGCAGGGACTGCGACTTGGGAAGTAATCCGTTATAAGTAAAAAATTGTTATCCCATAAACTTTCGAGTAATTTTGTAATTGCCACGTTACATTTTTTCCGGCAGTAATTTGTAATGTAATTTCGTTACAAATATTGTAACGTACTACTTTATTACTTGCTACCTTTTCTTTCTTTTTAAAACATTAACATTATACAAAAACTGGAGCAATATGAGTGCGCGACCTCCCGCTCGGTCACAGCACAAGAACGGGCGATCGCGCCCACGGATTTTTCAGTACTCCATGCTGCATAAGCTGACAGTGCGCCAAAGCTGCAGGCACGAGACCGCAGCTTTGAGACGTTGCGCTCTCGCTTGAAAGGCCTGTTTAAAAAAGAATTTTCCGTAGATTGGCTATTTACCTCTGAACCTCGTAGCGGAGGTAGACGCTGCTACTGAGCATGCGCACCGCTAGCTTTGTCTGCACAATTCCAGGGATCATTTCCGGAGGCCGTAAGCTAGCGGGATGGCGGGTGTGGTTGCAGCTTTCGTAGACCTTGTCAGCTTACAGGTGAACGGAGTATACCTACTCTTTCTCTTAAATGCAATATTTTATTTTTACAAGGACTACCATAACGTGGTCATATGAGAAATGGAAAGTAGTGTTGCGGCACATTTCTGAAAACCTCAATATTGTTCCTATTGTTTTCTTGATAAGCGTACGGGAAAAGGAACGTGAAAGTAATTTGCCACCCCATAACGAGTAAAATAATCTGACACTTTTCAGCGAACGTATTTTGTAACGGTAATTCATTACAGTTAAGGCTCGGTAATTTGTAATTGTAATTCATTACAGTTTTCAAGTAACGAATAGAAGTATGGTGGCGATGATGTCAGAACACCGAGCTCTTATTGGCTGATTTAAAAAAAGGTTGGTAAACCGCGAGGCATCTAGCATTGAGTTACTATCCTTCCAATCATAGCCAATCAGAGTACGGCATCGTACTGACGTCACCGCAACTCCTGCGCA